TGACCACCAAACCCGAAAGAATTTGACAAGGCTGCTTTAATGTCCAATCTCTCCTTCTTAGGACCCACCAGCAGCTTTGTATCCTGCTCCAGATTCATTTTACAGGAAGATTATTAAATCTCCCAAGAGTTTTTTTTTTTGTTTATTTACGAACATTAAAGGTCTTTGTGTAGGTATTGAACTCATACGAAACTAACATACCACTCCACTGTCTGGATTCTCGAGGTTGATATTTGGATGAACCCATCCGGTCCTTATTGCCTGTAGATAACAACAGAACATTAACATTAAAAATGCGAAGATTGCACATAATTTCGCTCTATTCTAAAACTTGGTTTCATCAACATTTCCTTCCTTGTAGATACACTGAGTCTCGAATATCAAATGAGTTACCTGCACGGTTGCAACAGCTTCCACGGCCCCAGCAGCTCCCAGCAAGTGTCCAATCATAGACTTTGTGGAATTTACCTTAAGCTGCCACATCGTGAAAGATCAAGTAAGGAAAAGCACACAACACTTTGGAGTTTCGTAACAGAGAAGTGAAGCTACCTCAGGATTTTGGCCAAAACAGTGAGCAAGGGCTTGGTACTCCTTGATATCTCCAGCGTGTGTTGAGGTTGCATGTGCATTTATGTAATTTATCTGTTCCTTGGAAACCCCAGCACTAGCTAACGCTCTCTCGATACAGAGAATGACACCAGCCCCTGCGGATATAAGAAAAATGGGATAATGACAAAATATTTATAGAAAAGAGAGATTTAAATTTTGTAGTTGACTATTCTATGAATTAGGGGAAAATGAAACTACCATCAGGGTGAGGCTCAGTCATGTGATACGCATCACATGTGAAACTCCCACCGAGGAACTCTGCGTAGATAGTTGCTCCTCTTTTCTGAAAGAAAAGCAGGATACTTATGTTCTCACAACTCGTTCCATACCAAGCATTAAAAAAAAAACCTTGGATATAAGTTTCTTTTGTGATTTAACAATGGGAAACAAGGAATGACAAAAAGAACGAATAAGTTATATACCTTAGCATGCTCGAGTTCTTCCAAAAGTAGAACTCCAGCTCCCTCTCCCATCACGAAACCATCTCGATTCTGTTATGCAACCAAGACCAGGTTAACAAAACAAGAAGAACTTTGAAACATAATACACACGTTTCCTCACACTATCTTTCCTACAACATTACAGACATGCAAGGGAAATTCCTGTTGGCAAAAACTCGATACAGTGTTTCTAGCATCCACCAAGATTAAAACAAAACCATTCAATGATTTTAACATGTACTTCCTTTTAAAACATGCAAGTACCAAAAGGAAAAGAAGACAAGACAAGAAATTGTTAAAACTTACGGTATCCCAAGGACGTGAAGCTTTTGTTGGATCATTATTCCTTTGTGAAAGAGCCCGGCATGCAACAAAACCTCCCAACCCTGCATTGGTACACAACGATAAGATTTCATGTAGCTTAAATTTCAAGAATAGAGGGAATAATGTAATATAAGAGAACGAGTTAGCACCTATTGGAATAATAACTGCATCTGAGCCACCACAGAGCATTACATCCTGAAAAGTTTAGTGGAAAGACAGATAGTCTATAAGTAGAAGCAGAGGAAGTCTACCAAACTGTCGAATTTCCAAGTGGATGGAGGATACTTACAGCTTCACCTTTAATAATGTGGTTTGCTGAATTCAGAATGCAAAAGTTGCTTGTGGCACAAGCAGTTGAAATAGAATAGTTTGGCCCCATCCATCCCTGGTTTATTGCCCAAAAAAAAAAGTCAGTGTGAATTTGCTGGTGGTCATCCATATCATATTACATAACATTCAAATTTTATCAGACCAGATCCATAGCAAGCATAGCAGAACCCATGTTTGTTGTCGCAAAAGGTACACAAAAGGGATTCATCTTCTTGTAAGAGATTCTCAGAGCTTCAATAGCGTCATAAAAGACCTGTATCAGAAATGCAACGATTAACAACAGACTTCCTAATCTTTAGATTCAATATTCATGTGACTTTTTTGTTAGTGAAAGCATGGTTAATATGAAGGAACAATCAGGTGGAGATACTGAACAAAAACCTTAGATTGAAAGTGTTTTCATACTTTCTATACGATCAAGCCCGGGATCGAGAAAGTACCTTCATTCCTCCCATTGCCGAGCCAATCAAAACTCCACATTTGGTTTTGTCAAACTCTGCCATTACATCATCAGTTACCCCACCATCAGCCAAAGCTTTCTTGCCAGCTGTGAGAAGATAGAGCATGAACTTGTCCATCCTTTTAGAAAGTTTTGGAGCAACCCATCCTTCAGTCGAGAAGCTTTTGATCTCACCCGCAATTCGCTTGACAAAGGTAAAACAAGGAAAAATATTCAAGTAAGCAAACGTAGAAATTCCGCACACCGTAAAGCTTCCAAGAGATCCTGATATAATAATGCTTACCGTAGGAAATTCAGAACAATCAAAATTCTCAATCTGGCTAATACCACTATTGCCTTGTAGCAAATTCTCATAAAAGGTATGAGGGTCATGACCCAATGATGTTTCAACTCCCATGCCTGTCACTACAACACGACGCTGCTCCGTAGGTGGTTTCTTGTTAACCATGGCTTCCTTCTCCATCTCCATCACTGCCATGGCTCCACCTAAAACCCACAAAGACATAACAGTTGATGGTAGATTAACTAAAATCAGCTACTATCCACAAACCACATCTCAATGTCATGGTAAACATAAGAATCACACGCAATTTCAAAATTAATATATAAGTTCACCGCCATTTGTTCAGCTTTCAATGCTCTGTATACTCATTCCTCATCTAAAGCCTAACCTCACAAAATGTCCTTAAAAATACATGGAATCACAATAAAAATTCAAACTTTCACATGCGAGCTGCTTTCCCAATAACTTAAACCCATAGCAACATCGAACTAAGTGACATAAAAACGAGAAACTCGAAGAAAAACTAAAGCTGGCCGCATAAAAACCCCAGATTGGAAGACAAAAATCAAAAAGGAGATAAATGTTATACCAGAGCTAGCTGCACGATTCAGTCTCCTCTGGTTTCGATTCAAAGAAACACTATTCGATCCAAAGAGAGAAGACAATGCATTGTTGTTGTTGTTGTTGTAGTGAGTACAGGGACCAAAATCCAAACAAGAAGTGACGAGAGCCTGAATGCTAGCGGATCCAGAAGCGGAGGAGCATTTGCTAAGCTGCCTCCTTCGCCGACTCCGCCCAGCAGATTGAAGAGCAACAGCCTGACGGGTATCTCCACCGCCGTGAGAGACGGACATGCAAGCTGCAACAAACCAGGTACATAACGGAGATGCGTAGGAGGAAGACGCACCCACCATGGCAAAAGGAAGAGGCTTGAGAAGAACCCAGATGAGAGAACAAAGGAGAAAGCGAGAAATGGGTGAAGAGAGAATCTAGCAGAGAGACAAAGCCAAAATGGGATTCACGAGAGATTTAAGAGGAATCGATCTGCGATCTCTCTCTTCTCTCTTCTCTCTCTCTTTCAGGAAGCGTGCAGAGAGCTTCGATGCGTAAAATCGTGCGTGGAGACGCCAAATATCCTCCTCTCAAACAAACAGACACAACAGATAGAGAGAGAGAGAGAGAGAGATACAACACAACACTATACAAATACCAATCGACACTTCAAATCTCAAAATTATCGATGACCAGAAATTATTTTTATTTTATTTTTTATTCTGAATCTCAAAAGAAATTAGTAATAACTTTTTGTAACTAAAAATATATACTACAACCTTTTTATCTATTTTTGTTAAAGTTGATGACATCTTATCAAAAAACAAGAAAAAATTGCCCCACTTTTCAAAACTAAATAAAAAATCTTGCTAACTTATTTTCTTTTAATAGCTTGCTATTTAGTAGTTTACAAGAACAAATCACAAAAATTGAAAACAGCAATTTCACAGGAAATCGTAATTTATGTTGAATTAATGATATAATAAAAATATATATATATACAGTAACGCTGATTCAATATGATTCCATTACAATGTTTTTTTGCACAAGTGCATACAGATTTGGTGACCTCGGTTTAATCGAAGGAAGGACACTTGGAAAATCATTATTTTATTTTGTTTTTGTGGCAGTGAAGTAGTGTTACAGAGTTGGGATAGCGATATGGCAAAGCAGCCACTGTTTTTCTAACATTTATTATTACTGTCATAATTTCTTAGACTAATGTTCAGAAATACACGTATAAAGTACGTATTTAGACGTGACTTTTACTAGTAGTGTTCATAAATAGGAAGATCATCAAGTGGTCCGCTGATGATAGTAGTAGATTCAGAAAGACAAAACATTGATAAAAGTCATGGATTTGATACGTTAAAGCTGACTAATAAATATTATAGACCCCTCACATTCATTAAGTTCATACAATTAATGTCTTCTTTTGACTTGTGTATGTAATCAAAAGCTTGATAGGATACACGTGATTTGTTTTTCCTACTGATCGAAACATTACACACATCAAGTAGCTCTAATTAGTTACTAGTAGTATACATATTGTATCAAAACCAAGTTGTAATATTAGACTATTGGTTTATGTTGGTTTGGAATCCAACCCAAGAGTTCAGGTTTTTTGTTTTGTTTTTTAAGTGATGGAAATGGAATAATAGAAAACAGAGGAAGCAGGAAAGAGGGGAGCAAGAGAAAATGCATGGAAAGAGTCAAAGTGGGTAAGCTCTCTCATACCTAACATTCCATTTTCGCATCACCATTCTCAGCTAAACCAGCCTATTTTATGCGCACAAACATTACTATCTCACACGTGTCGATTCCTGATTCGTCGAACAAAAGCAACATTACTACATCAATATCAAAGGAATTAGATACACAAAGTGAGTGATACAAGTGTGTTCAGGTAATGCTGCTAATCCACTATCCTTGAACAGCTTTTGAAAGAAGCAAAATTTTCACTTTCACCTGAAGTCCAACTGATAAACGATTCACAAGTGCATTTGTTTGATCACAATTCATAAGTGCATTTGTTTCAAAAGCATACCAACTTGGCGTTCCATTCAAACGAAACAGAGATTGTATTGGTTCGTCTACACATAAACATTAGCATGGAACAAAACACACATAATAGACAAGAAGAGTTTAAAAAAAAAGAATGGAGGCAGAAGAGTCTACTTGAAGAGTTGATCCAATGATATAAAACCTCTTAACGCTTGGAGAATTGTGGTGCTTTACGCGCCTTCTTGAGCCCGGCCTTCTTTCTTTCAACCACTCTCGCATCTCTAGTGAGCAAACCTTCCTTCTTCAAAGGCGATCTGTGGTCTGCACTTACCTTGAGGAGTGCACGTGCGACTCCCAGGGTAATAGCTTGAGCTTGACCTGAGAGACCGCCTCCATGGGCTTTCACAAATATGTCGTAGCTGTTCTCATACCCTAAAGTCACTAGTGGGACTTTAACATACTGAAGCCATAGTGGATTTCCCTGAAGGTACTCCTGAAAAGGTTTACAATGATGATCATCAGCGATATGCGTATGGATTTTCACATTCACAAAACAGCTTATCAAAACTCCCAAACTGTATCATAATCTCACCTTGCTATCATTTTTTCAGCCCCTTATCCTAAGTCTAAACAGCCTAGAAATCACCACGAGAACTATATGTTCAGACAGTTCTTCCAGTTTCAACTTAAATCTATAACGTGCTGATACAACTCCCAGGTCACACAGAACTGCATACAGATAAAGCTTGATCACAAGAGTAATGCATCTTGTTACCATAAGAGAGAATGTATTCATAAAGGTCAAGACTTTCTCTCCTACAAGATGCTGCAATTGCTACTACTAAATGCTTGAATCGATTATACGCTTTGTATAAATGTCAAGTCTTTTGCAGGTTTCAGGCAAAATGGACTGCTTTCATAGCTTTTGCTGTTGAAATACCAATCCCAAGTTCAAATATTATTCTCTCAAGAACATAAACCCTTTATATGAGTAGTCAATTCAGACCCCAAAAATCAAGGCCTAAGCTAACACATCAAGCACAAGAGATAATGGAATTAGAAATTATTAAGAGCACAGATTGATAAATTAACCTTGGCATCACGATAGTTTATGATAACCTTCCCAGTGCCTTCCTGAAGCACAACTCTAGCAATTGCGCACTTACGCCGTCCAGTGCCAATAATCTTCTGAGCAGCAAATCCTCCGGGAAGCCTTGATTTGACGTATTTCTTCAGCTCAATTATCTCCTCCTCCTCCGGTGGAGCAGCTACCGTGGCGGTTATAGATAGGGAAGAGCGGCGGTCGGATTTCGCCGGTAACGCGAACACCGAATTCGCGCGGGGAAAGGAAATGGTGTTAGGTCTCTGAGAAACTTGGGAGGAGAACGAAAGTGAAGAGAGAGAAGCGGCGAGGTTCGAAATCGACGCCATTGTCGCTGAACGAGTAAAGTGAAGCTGAGCTCAGGAATTTCGTCCAACAGGTAAAAGGAAGAAGATAACGAGCAGAGTGAAGAAGATGAGATTAGACACGGTCCCTATCGCTTCATGAGCTTTCCAAGTCGGCCCATTAGAGCCCATTAAAAACCTTAATTGGGCTTAACAGGAGATTGATTACCCGAATAATATATGTGGGTTCGTGACTGTGTCTTGGGCTTAATAAGTGTTATCTTGTTCAACAAAATTTTCAACTCACCGAGATCTAATGGAACCATCAAACAAATTAGGGATCCTCTACTTAGTATTTTCTGGCTAACCACCAATCATGTGCTGAGATAGCTTCATCTGGTAGATAGAACAACAATAAAGTCTATTTGATGCGACATAATTTTGGGATGAAATATTTGTTTTTAGAAGTCAAAGATAGTTTAATGGGGACAATTTTCCAAATGGCAATATCGGAGGTGAAAACTAGAAAAACCAGCAATGTATGTGACATATTGTCCTTAATTAGTGTTTAGTTTTCTCTTTTGCTTAACTGTTACGGGAAAAATGAGTTTTTTCTACAACAACGTATTCTTTTAAGTGGATGTATAATTCATCACATAACTCTCTTTTTTTTTTTTGGTGGAAAATCACATAACTCTCTTTTATTGCATGGTCTTCTAACCAAACCAAATTTTAAACTCAAATCCTAAATTCTATCTCTTTTTTTGGTAAAGTAGAAAATCCACATTAAAAATAACATGTTACAAGATAGAATCATCGTCATTTCGAAAATTAGATGGCCGCATGAAATAACATGTTAAGGGAAAAAAATAACATTTTCCGTAAGAGTTAAATACAATGAAACATGGTCAAAAAAATGTTTACATCATACCATTGTCATTTAGCTAATTTCCATATTTTCTTTTGCCATCTGCTCCACTTACACGATTAAATGTAAAGCTTCAACATCTTTATGAAGAGGATCAGATCGGTGCTTAAGGTATCTAGCCTACTATAATGTAACCAGCATTAATATTGATCAATATGCAGATGTAACATGAGAACACGCTTATGACTTTTCGCAAACCGGAAGATTGAAGAATCAAATATTACAAGCTGATGCAACACTTACTCCAAAGAAATGAAATAACATAAGAATATTGTAAATGTAGCTCAAAACATTAATAGTCAAAATAACAAAAATCGTAGACAATGTATAATAGTTTCAAAAACATTGTCAAAAAAAAAAACAGAACACGGTCTACTCAGATTCATCAAAAGATACATTCCATTACAACAAGAAGTTGGAAAACCGTGTACCAGTTGGCATCGCAGCAAAACCTGAATGCCCACCAAAGAAACTAGACCCATGATGTCTTTCTCCAAGACGAGGACGAGCTGTTTCAATCCTAGTCGCAGCTGGTCGATTAGGGACAGTAACACCACAACTGAGTTTCGATCTCGGGTCAGAAGATGGCTTACCCATTCCATACAAAGGAACCAGACTATCTTCCTTAACCAAAGCTTTACAAACAGGACAATGATTAGATTGAGAATGGTAATGGAGCCACTTGTAGAGACAAGGCCAACAGAACAAATGACCACATAGAGTCACGATTGGTTCTCTTGCCAATTCAAGACAGATGTTGCATCCAAAGTTGTTCGATGCATCTTCTTCGTTCGTGATGGTCATGCTGATAGCCATTGAAAGATCTTTTTTTTCCTATACACATGCAATGAAATGACGAATGAGATGAAAATCTCTAAAACCCTTAAAACGTTTCCTATAGAATTGATCAAACATGCAGAGAAATACAAAGTTTCGATTTCTACGGTAAGGGAAACTCAATTTTCCAGCGTTGAAGGAAAGATTTACCTCGGCGATGAGAGAGAGGTTTCCTGATGCAAGATCGCAGATATGAGACGAGACGAGCGAGAGAGAAGAGAAAGAGTCGATGAATGAAAAAGAAGAAGAAGAATGTTGTTAATATACTAACGGATTAACAAAAAAAAGAGGAAAAAAGTTGTTAATATTCTTCTTATGGCTGACGAAGCTTCCTCGATGTAATTATCAGATGATTATTTGATTTTCTCAGACTTAATAACTTAATTTAAATCAAATTAGTTTATTTCGTCGGTTTTAAATCATATTAAATGTCGGTTTTGACTTTTGACTAATGTTTTTGTTTCCAAATATCGTTTCGTGATTCTAAATTTCTAATGTAATTTTTTGGAACGTGGTTGACAGAAAAAATGTAATTTTTGGAAATCTCATTTACCTTTAAAACCGTCAAGTTAACATATACATAACCAATAATTAAAGTCAAAGTTCAAACAATCCATAAAAATGTCTACGATAGTGTGAGCATAGAACTTGTGATTTTGACTGTTCCTGGATTCTAGATGTTGATGATCTTATTGGTCACCTTGTACCCAAAGAAATAATTTTACATTATGAATAAAATAATTTAGATAAAGTTAGAGATCAATCTTTTATAGCTACAAAATTGATATAGCAGTTAAATATTTGTGTGTTTTTTTGGTAACAATTGTTGTGATTAGCTTACGATTTTAAACATATCAGCAACTAAAATAATAGTTAGTACAGAAATGAACACCCACTCAATTAATGTTGTTTTTAAAGAACGAGGCTTAAACCTTATACACGTATAAAATGCTTTTTATTGTTATGGTTAAAGAGTTCAGATACAAAAGTTCGTTCTAGACGACGGTATTATTAATATTATTATCGAGTACTTAGTACAACGAATCAAATTGACTGGAATTATAGGAAGGTTCGAAATTGAACATGATCCTCCAACAAATATCATACGTGGTGGATTAACTTATTTTCACATATAACTTGTGGTGACTGGTGAAGTCCAAATTATATATATATATATATATATATATATATATATATATTATGGATTCTGGAAGTATTATAGTTGGTTATAAAGTCTTGTTGCATTTGCATTTAATTCCTGTACGCTATGCGGCTAAGCAACGAGGCCCGTCTTACCAGAGCTGTGCCCAGGATTACACGGAGACCAGAAGCGGTGTTAAAAAAAAATATTAACTCATATAAAACATAGATAATTTATAATAATTTGTGAGACTAAAAAAAATTTAATACTTAATAGCTCTCCTTTGAAGAATAGTCTTTTTACAAATGCGAAATCGATCTACGGATGCATATACAATATTTCTTTTGGAAGGATTTAGGATTTGTCCCAAGACCAAACTCTACTTGGATACATATAAAATAACGTTTATAAAATACTAATCATCAAAAATTATACTAACTCTTTTACAAGTTTTATTTAGTTTGCAAATTATAACTCATAATTAATAATTCAAAATTTACATTATCTTTGTTTTCAAAACCTTGTGTTAAAATTTTTTTATTAAGAGAGTTTGTTTTTTTTTTTAATTTTACCAAAGATCTTTCTATAGTTTAAGACGGTACTGTAAGCAACTTTCATTATCCTTACCAAAATAGAAAATACACAGTTGTATCATTCTTTTTGCTAAAAACAAACAATCGTATCATATTCTCAACCTGCACGAAAAGTTAAGTCACGTAAATTGTTAAGATTGGTGATTTGAATATTGTATCGAAAATATGTTATTAAATCAAGGATTTACAATTAAATTTGAACACACATTTTTAAGCAAGGAAATCTTCTACAATCTCTTAAATTCATTAAAAATCTAATGTTTAAATTATTTCTAATAATAGTAGATTTTAAAGTTCATTTTCAAACCACTAGTTCAATAACATAAGATTTTAGAAAGCTTTTTAAAATCCATGATTAAATAACATAAGATTTTTATTTTAACACAAATCATTGCAAATGGTAAGTATTTTTTTTTTATATAACAAAACAATAACTCGAAAACAACGTTTTACGTGACAAAAGAAAGAGTATCAAACAAAACTTAATGATATTGGAATAAAGTGATTGTAAACATGTTAATCTCTCTTCTTAGACATGTCAACTTTGACCGTGACATGTTCAATGAATCGCATTCAAAATTTATTTCTTAACACACAAAAAATGAGGAAATACAGAAACAGTATAAAAATAGAGCAAAGCCGGTGAGCAAAAACAAGAAACACAGAAACAGAACATAATCCTCTCAACTGCTTCTTCTTCTTCAAGAATCTCTCTCTCTCTCCTCCTCCTCATAATCCTCTCAACTGCTTCTTCTTCTTCCTTTTTCTTTCACATCACACAACACAACCACTGTGATCTTGATTTGATACCAATGACTCTGAATTACTATCTAGCGGAGCATCCAACGATCGTTAACTTCCGTTGGAGTCCAACCCAATCCTACGCCTCCACGTGGTCTTTCCTCTTCACCGCCGTCTCATCTTACGTCATCGCCGCCGTCACTCTCCACCTCCTCCTCCTCATAATCCTCTCCCTCTGTCACCGCCGCCGCGGATTCTCCCTCGGTCCAATCCCAGCTCTACACAGCTTAACCATTTCCATAGTCTCCGCCGTCATCTTCGTCGGAATCCTCCTCTCCGCCGCAGCAGAGATCAGAGACACGCGCTGGCTATGGCGTCGCACACGCACCACGGCTCTCCAATGGTTCCTCTGTTTTCCCGTAGGTACACGCGCTTCGGGGCGCGTGTTCTTCTGGTCATACGCGTTTTACCTCTCAAGATTTCTTCACTTGTTCCGTACTTTCTTCTCCGTGATACGACGTCGTAAGCTCAGCTTCTTTCAGCTCATTAACCAGTCTTCTCTTCTCTGTATCTCCTTCCTCTGGCTCGAATATTCCCAATCCTTTCAGGTATAAATTAACCGCTTCGTTCGGTTTACCAAACCGGAATCAATAACCGAATTTATAAATTTGAACCGTTCTTCGTGTTTTTGGTTTTTTGTAGGTAGTAGCGATACTGTTAACGACCGTTTCGTACGCCGTTGTATACGGTTACAGATTCTGGACGGAGATTGGGTTACGTGGCGCGTGTTTTCCGTTTGTCGTTAACTGTCAAGCAATTCTGTTAGGGTGCATGACGGTTTGCCACGTAGGCGTACTCTGTATACACCTGGTCAAACGCGGCGGTTGTAACGGTATCGGTGCTTGGTTGTTTAACTCTGTTCTTAACGCCGTTATCACGTTGCTCTACTTGAAGTTTTATTGCAAGACGCGTTCAATGATGATGACCAAGGCTGTTCACACCACCACATAAACCCAATCATTTTTGTGTTATTGAAATCATCCGGAAAAAAAAAAAATCAGACTTCAGCTAAAATATGAAAACTGGAGATCAGATTTTTTTTATTCTGTTGTTGTTGTATGATATAGATGGAATAGGATTCATTGTAGTGTTGTTTCTCTCCGACGCAAAATATGTATATCAACGAAATCAATATAAATAGTTTTGGATTATTGTAGCTTATTATGATCTTTTCAAGATTCGTCACTTTTCTCAGGTTGCAAGGAACTGAAAAGTCACGTAGCTTCAGAATTGAATTCGTTTCTTTGTTAACATCTAAATCTAATCAAAGAAAAGTAGTAAGTCAAAGTAATACTTTTTGTGAATTACGTTTTGTCATAATAATAACCTGAGAAAAGACAATCGATATGCACTATATATAGTTACAACATTGCCGGACGATATCAATCTCCGGCATCCATTTGTTTCCGGTCAATAAGAACACCGTCGTCCCAAGTTTCAGAGTATCTGTAGAAAATAGCCATCAACAATTTTTGAATAAACTTGTGGTTGCTCTTTTTCTGATTAAGATAGAAGTAGATGAGTTATTTTTTTTTTAAGAGTCACTGACCTTGTACCATCCACATCTATACAGAGGAATTGTCCGTGTCGCCATCCCTCTTTGAAATGTCCAAAGAATATCTCACCGGACTTCGAATAGAACCGGCCTTCGCCACTGGCTTTTCCTTTCCAGAAATTTGCAAACCATCGATCACCTTTGTGGAAATAAAACCAACCCTGCAAGACAAATGAACAAGTTTTTGTCTTTCTAATAAGAGATCTTTTTGTACACTCCTTTCTCAAACCTATTCGATAGATTGGGGAAGTAGGAAACGCATTTTACATGGCACTAGCTTGACAAAGTCTTAGGGACTTGGTGAAACTAAGCAGTTTGTGCAAAAGTGTAGTCTCAATAAGCTAATAAAAATTCGAAAAGGACAAAAGACTATTTCACCTTTCCGTGTATTAAATCTTCTCTCCATGTGCCTTGGAACACGTCTCCATTCTTGAAGTAGAATGTTCCAAGACCAGATCTTTTGCCGTTGTGCCACATTCCATCATATATGCTTCCATCTCCAAGTACCAAACGACCCTGGTGGGAATATGAAGCAGTTACTTTCGGATTAACTAAAAAGCCTGTCTCAAAAATAGGAAGAGGATCCATTGATGAATTGGCTTCAATGAATAAAACCAACAAGACGGATTACCTTTCCTTCGGGAAGGCCTCCTTGGCATCTTCCCTTGAAAAGTCCTCCTCTGTACTGCATCTCGAGAATAGGGCTCCATCTCTTTGATGAATCTCGTTCAGCTTCCTAAGAATTAAAATTGGAAAATTCTGTCAGTTGGCATCGACTTGGACGATGTTTTTACAAAACGAATCTTCATCATGGTTGCAGCCTGAACCAAAGAGACCACTTTGCCTCTATATGCATTATTGTTTGAAAAATCAGCCCACTAGTAAGAAGATATTTTATATCTCAACCTCATAGACTGGTACATTGCTACTTACCAGCATAGACGCTGCTCGAGCGGATAGATTTCTTTGCTTTGTAAAATCAGCATATTTCTCAGATAGCAGGGTAGATGCATTATCACTAGAGTCTTTTGTCGACCCATTAGGGTTGAAAAATGATTCTTCTCTGGAATCAGCCTTTCGAGAGGGTTGGCTGGCAACACCAAGAGTACTGTTCAACTTCTTTGAAGGTCTCACCCCAACAGGAAGGTTGACAATGCCCAGGCTAAGCACTGCAGAGTCTCCAGAATCAGCTGGCCATTTCTGCTCAATCTGATATCCCGGATCCATACTCCAATTGGCAATTGGCTCTCTCTGGATAGCACCAAAATCTACAAAAGATGATTCTCATTCACTTTTAAAGTAGTTTAGGAGGGCAGTACTTCAACATCCTATAAATAACAAGTAATGAAGCATCTCGACCAAAACTACATACAAAAATAAGTAGCAACAGAAAGTTGTCTTCAAATTTTGTACCTTCCATATTTTCATCTTCAAGATCCAGTCGACTGTTTCTGGATGGTCCCCCCTCTTTTAATGAGTATTCACTATCACCGTTCTCAGAAATTTCCAGGAGGTCCTCAGAGTCAATTTCAAATTCTTCAACATTCTGATTCGAACTTTTTACGTCAATAGAGTCTGCTGAACCTTTAATGGAAACTGGAGTCTCTCGAAGTCCACTATTTGTTTCTTTTTGGAGCTGTGAACGATATCTCGTGAAGATATTTAAAACAAAAGGAACAAGACCAGAAAAAATGTTGCCTTTGATGGATGTATCCTCTTCTGAAGAACTGCGATGACATATGAGACTTGCATTAGTGCTTAAAAGTGGTCACGAGATATAGAATCTGAGTCTTGGTCAGAACCATCACAGATCTTAATCAGACAAATAAAATATTCGGTATAAATGCTGAAACCATATAATTACTTTTCTTTGTTGAATTTCAGCTAAATATGAAACCATATGCATGAGCTTGATATTGTAAGCTGTTATCAAACATGAAGACCCACCTTAGAATAAAAAACGTTGTGACACGCACTTTAGGCTCCAGATCAGGTTCATGAACAGTAGATACTATAATATCTCCACTATACTCCATTGTTTGACGAAAAGTACGAAGAATTGTTTTCACGTCCTTCTTCTGAAGAGGTGCTGAACTAGCCACAACGCATATAATAGCGTTTAGATCCTGCAGGTTGGAGAAAACATGGTTGAGACTTGAGATGAAAAAGGTTACTTGAATAACGTAATTTTCTACGAAAATAGTTTCAAAGTAATTTCGTAAGAAAAGAGATTCAAGGAGCATACTTTCAAGAAAAATGCCAAAATACACACAATTAAAAAAAATTCAAATACACTAGCTCCTTCGGAAAATCCTCGAATAATGTTTTTATATTCAAATTATTATCAGATCAACCTGCTTCATCTTTTTTTGAAAAAGGGAAACAACTCAACAAAGAGTGTATAGAGGAGAAGAAAAATCAAACCGAGAACTTAAGTAGGACGGATGAATCTTCTATGCAAAGCTCTTTAAGAGATTAGAAATACCTTTAGACCAGGGCGAAAGAATGGGCAGTCATATATAGCTCGTAAAATCGAAGTCTTAAGGTTGTGACCAACTCCAAAACCAACCTTTGCCTCTTTGTAGCTTTCTAGAATCTGCACATTAGAGAGTTGAAGGATTGACGACAAGCTAAAACTAAGGGTGAGTATACCATACAGACAAATGAAATTTCAAGAACAGGTAAGACTATGAAGATCTTTATCACTTAAACCCAAAAGAAAAAATGCCAAGAAACTTACCATTTTTACTTCTGAACCTTCAAGTTCTTTGAGATCTTTATGCATCGCATCGATGAAGTTTACATGCATCCCCTGAATAAACCCATATATGAAAATGACAAAAAATTTGAGTATAATATGAGAGACAGCTACAGGAGAAAAGTAACCTTACACTTATCAGAGCGGAAGCTGCATTTACTGCCATGGAAACAGCATTGTTTGCATTTCTCAGCGCCTCGTCCAAAGTTACCAAATCCTTCTGTAGTAAAACCTCTATGTCGATATCTACAAAGACCAAATTAAAGTCAGTTCATGGTCAGCAGAACTACTAGAACAGAAGGTAGTTTTTCTGACGGTATTGTGTCAGGAAATATTCAATAATGCTAATAGACGTACCTATACAGAAATTGGTGTGTTGCTGCAGTTTTCTAGCCAATTCGTTAACCTGCACACAACCTGGGAAATTAGAACAAGAGAAAAGACTCTAACTAGTGATACTATATGTAGTTGAACTAGCTTGTAGATAGGGATGTCATTTGATGGGCTGTTTTCAGTTTGTTATATGAAATAGTATACAATAAACAAATGTTGACAGGAAATGGAGATGACAGACATTTGGGAATGTGCACTGTTGGAAAAACATGAAGCCACTCGAAAGTTCTCCACCTAGTTTTATTCTCTATAAATTCAGGTATACAAGTTACTAACAGCTCCAGCAAAACAGTCCAAAGACATAACTAACTACTTTGAAGACTGATAATCCTATTACCAAGACTTTGCCACAATACAATGAAATTCCAAATTGGCTCTTTTGGTACATACCAAACAAGTACAACTTTAGAAGCAACAAAAAACTACCTCTTCTAGACGCTTTCGGCCTTCAAAGCTGAAAGGCTTTAATAGCACAGCAACAGCTAAGTTACCCCCAGTTCTTACTGCACTAAGAATATTAATAGCTTCAGCCTGGTCAGAGCCATATCCAGCAGTAGCCACCTGGCAAGGGGAACAGTTTAAGCAGAATCAGATGGTCGGCCAATACTGTTCCACGAAAATAAAATTTTGGGAAAAATTGAAAACCATTAGTATCTTGTTCAGTTATAAAGAAGGCTAGAACTGCAAATTGCACAACAGAAAACAGAACACAAACAATGATAGGCAAGAAAAGTACAAACAAGGATGAAGGCCCTTGGACGTGATTCTATCAGCTCAATTGGATTCATGGTCTTCGAAGCATTCTCTGTAAACATAAAAAGAGAAGCGATAAGTAAGAAAGATAGCGTATCCCTCTTTATCTTCTTGAACAGCTAGCTAAATATATGCTAGTTGTTCAAGAACCTGTTTATAATCAGATTCAAAAGGCAAGAAGAAACATGAAAGAAAAAAAATTATGGACCTTGCTGACTGAGCCTCTGCTGTAACACTAAATCTCCAGAGCTGTCCTTGCTAATACTCCTGAAAAAGTAGAGTTGTCAGTTAAATTTGATCACTTACACAGAACATAGATAATCCATTTAAGCCATAAGAGAAGAAAGCTACACACTTTAGGAGTGTAAGTAACAGTGTACTAGGAAAGCCATCAGATTTCGAAAAAGTGGCTAGTAGATAAAACAGAATCATAAGACGAATATAAATAAACTATATATACCAAAATCGGAGAGGAAGAGAAGGGAAAGGAGAATCCAAGCAAGAATCAATGATAGACTCCTTGCGACTACCGATGACAACGACCTCAATGAACTCAGACCCATCTTCTCCAGCTCTCTCGCATGTCTCCATCGGAGCCGAATCCCTCACCAAACACATCACGCAAATCCGACGCGCCTTTCGAGCGGTACAATTCAATCGCGCCGAAGCACCAAGGGACGAAAACGGAATTCCAAAAGTAGGAACTAGAGCTAAACGAGAGAGCAATGGTACTCGGAGAGTGGAGAAAACTGGAAGCTCCATAGAAATCGGCATTGCTCTTCTCCTACGGAATCACTTATTAAAACACACATGAATTGATAGATGATGAGATTCGGTCGGAGCAGAGCAATGTCTGAAGTTCTCCCGATTATTCTCAATGAGAGTGAGAAAAAAAAAATATCAAGTTCGACGGCACCGTGAATTGGTTAAATTATTTCATAAACCCTCATATTTTACTACTTATTTCAGTTTTAATCCAATCTTTTAGTTTATTGCTTATGTACCCCTTACTGTAAGTTGACGAATCGGTGGCGGATGTAACTTTTGAACCGATCAATTACATCCTCATGTTTGGTCTACTGTCACTTTTAAATAGTTTACTTTCTTGGTCAATGCTATTATTTCTTATAATCAAATGGTTTCATTATTATAATAAAGAAATAACTTCTTTATTCTTCTACAATAACGAGCCCAATATATTTTACCAAACGGGAAAAATATCGTTTAATAGCCGAACTTTAAAAAAATGCCCGTTTAATACGTGAACTTCTTATATGGCCAATTTAAACATGAAGTAAACGTTGACCGGCCAATTTAAACATGAAGTATTCGTTGACCAGGCCAAAAATCACACGCCGTTATCTGTCGTTAACAGATCTGATAACAGCTATTTAACTCTCGTTAACGATTCCATTATTGCCTAAACAACGTCGTTTTGGGCTTAATCTAAACCTCCAAAAACCCCAAATTGATTTTCAAATCCCTAATTCTGAAAAATCCCCAAATTTAGAACCTTAAGGCCGATTTTCGAGGCAAAGCAGAGAGTGTTGTGGATGCTGGAGTTGAAGCTCGAGGTGAATCTGAGATTATTGTCTGAGACGGAGTTCAAGCTCCACCGGCGGAAGCGTTTCAGAGCCAGGTGGCAGAGATGGAATTCTAGTTCAACCAAATGTCGGAGACAAAGCTCGTGGCCGGCGTCAAAAACGAAGAAAACGACGTCGATTTGGGGATTTAGGGATTTCGATTAAGCTTAAAACGACGTCGTTTTAGGTAATAACAGAATCGTTAACGGTTATTATCGGATCTGTTAACGACTGATAACGGCGTGTGGTTTTTGGCCTGATCAACGAATACTTCATGTTTAAATTGGTCGATCAACGTTTACTTCATGTTTAAATTGGCCATATAAGAAGTTCATGTATTAAACGGGCATTTTTTTAAAGTTCGGCTATTAAACGATATTTTTCCCTTTACTAAACCGTTCTTTATCAACAACAACTAGAGAAAACAATTCAAAGAAATTTTGTACTTAAAAATAATCAACTAGACACGATTTTTTCTTCACCATTTTATACATGAATTGTTATGTTTTTTTTGGGTATAGCATTAGCATGTATGTTTAGTTTACCCAATAAATTTAACTTTAGAAGAAAATAAACTTAACATTTGTAAAAATAAAAAATAAATGTCACATAAATAATTGAGAAAAACATCTGGTCCCCATGTAAATCGTATAAAAAGAACTTCAGATCCAAAATTTGGAGAAAAAAAATCCAGCGCTATATAGCATTAAATGAAAAAATAAATCATTAAAAGCTTGGATTTTATTCTTGTTTGATACAACCAATAATAATACTAAGTGAGAAAAAGTATCAATTAGAGTTTGCTTCACGTTTGAGTTTCAAAAGTGTAACGACGCCAGGAGAATTTTATAGGGTCGCAAGTGTCAGCTTTGGATATTTGTCTTCGCTGCAACTTTTGACCTTTTTCGCATTCAGCGAATCAGATCGCTATAGTACAGTGCACCCTACCGTCTCTGATCACCTGCGTCTCAATTACAATTAGATCCGACCCGAAACGGATCCTTCTTTGAAACTTCGTTGTGAGATTCGCATTCCTCTGTTCTACCATTTAACAATTATCCTCTTCGTCTTCGCCAACTTCTTGCGCTCTTCATACTTCTCCAGGTACTTTATCTTCTTCGTCGAGTTCCTTGTGCTTCAGATACGTGAGAAGTGTTTCTCTTGCTCTGTCTCTTTGATCTTATATATCACGTGGGATCTGAATTGTAGTTGCGGTATTCACAAGTCTTTCCCAATTTGAGGATGTTTTTTTCTATGGTTTCTGCGTTTTTGTTTTGGAATATTGATGATTATAGATTCTAAATTATGCAGCTTTAGATACTAAACTAAATGACGAATCTTTATCATTCATTATTCGCTTGTTGAATCTTCCACTCAGCTCATAGATACGGAACTCTCTGTTCATTGTTGCTTTTAGAGATTAATTCATGTTCCTGAGAGATAAATTTGCAAAAAAAAGTTCTACTTTTGTAAGTTTCCATACAAATTAAAGAAAAATTGGGTCTTTATATACAATTTCTTCATGGTTGTGTTGATTAGGGATCTCTATTTCGTCTGGTCGTTGTTAGATGAACTGTTTCTTTCGAAATTCTGTACATGATTGTTTGGGAAATATCTATGTGGGTCACAAGTATCAAAGACTTGGGATCTTAACATTTGCTTTAGGTTACTCAAATGGCATATCTAGGCTCTTACATTGGTTTTCTAGTCTCATGTCGGCAACTCAATCTTTGTCTTTACCAAAAAAAAAACAAAACAAAAAATTCAATCTTTATGGGGAACTTTAGGTGGCACTGAGTAATATTTGATTCTCATTGCTGCAGTTTGTCTGGAAAAAAGATGGAAGTTTGCGGGGATCTGAATTCTGATAACTTAAAGAACCGCCCCTTGACTCCGCTTAGGATTCTGAGGGGCTTGATGATTCTACTGGTGTTTCTCTCTACTGCTTTTATGTTCCTGCTGTACTTTGCACCAATAGCTGCTCTAGGTCTACGGCTTCTGAGTGTGCATCAATCTAGAAAAGTTATATCGTTAATCTTTGGTCACTGGTTAGCTTTGTGGCCTTACCTGTTTGAAACGGTTAATGGGACAACCGTGGTGTTCTCTGGAGACATCATTCCGGTTGAGAAACGTGTTTTGCTTATTGCAAATCACAGGACAGAGGTGGATTGGATGTATTTGTGGAATATTGCCTTGAGAAAACGGTGTCTTGGTTACATCAAATACGTGCTCAAGAGCAGCTTGATGAAATTACCTATTTTTGGCTGGGGTTTCCATGTTTTGGAGTTTATACCAGTGGAGAGGAAGCGGGAGGTCGACGAGCCTGTTTTGCTTCAAATGCTTTCATCGTTTAAGGATCCTCAAGAACCCTTATGGCTTGCTCTATTCCCGGAAGGAACCGATTTCACGTATGAACCTACATTAAGAACATGTTGCAACGTATCTTTAACTGCTCTAGATATATTAGCTAATTCATAAGTAATCTGAATCTTCAAAGATATCTTTCAGTTTCTCCTTGGTAGGATATTTAACACCATTGTGCATCTGTCTTGCAAATATTATAAACCAGTAACCCTCATTTGCAATAATTTGCCTGCTATTGCATGAATGTTTGAAATGCTGCTCTTCATATATTTTCTTTCATATTACTGAGACCTTCCTTATTTTGATATGCAGTGAAGAGAAATGCAAGAGAAGCCAAAAGTTTGCAGCTGAAGTTGGTCTTCCAGCACTATCAAACGTTCTTCTACCAAAAACAAGGGGTTTTGGCGTTTGCTTAGAAGTTCTTCATAACTCTTTGGATGCAGGTATGGTTCATGAAATTTTGATAAAAAAATGTGCCCCTGGTATATATAGTAGTACCCCAAGCCACATGTTATGCAAACTATTATTGCATGTGGGACCTCATGACCACAATCAACTGAACAAGGCATTTCCTTTTTATTGAACCCAATCCTCTGTTCTTACGTCATATTCTTGAAATGCAGTATATGATTTGACTATCGCATATAAACCTCGCTGCCCATCTTTCATGGACAATGTATTCGGGACGGATCCTTCAGAAGTTCATATCCACGTTCGGCGAGTTCTTCTAAAGGAGATTCCAGCAAACGAGGCAGAATCTTCTGCTTGGTTAATGGATTCATTTCAGTTGAAGGACAAACTGCTATCCGATTTCAATGCTCAGGGGCAGTTCCCAAGTCAAAGACCAGAAGAAGAACTCTCTGTTCTGAAGTGCATCGCAACATTTGCAGGGGTAATATCTTTGACAGTACTATTCATTTATCTAACCTTGTATTCACATAGCTGTTTCAAAGTATATGCTTGTCTAAGCGGCACATATTTAACTTTTGCTACATATTACAAGTTCCGACCCTCACCTGGCTGTTTTAGAGAAGATTCTTGTAAACAAGTTAAAAACCATTAACTTTGTTGTAAATACAATTCTTTCTTTGTATAGAAAGAAATAATATTACAGGCAGAAAAGATTTCTGGGATGCCTTTTTCATTGTAAGTTCTTTCATCTACAGTTAGTTTTTAATCGTATTCCATGTTGTTCTCTTGAAACTCACATAGACATTTGACTTGTGTCTTACTCACATTTTGGTTGTGTCTTGCAAATGCCACTGTTGGCAATCTTCTTCCCAAACTGACATCTAGCAACATAATTTGTAAGGAAAAGTTGATACGTTGAAACTGTGGAAAAGTTGATATGTTGGAACTGTGAAACTCTTGTGTTCAGTGAGTTAGTAACAACAACAGGTCACTAAACCTTCTTGTCAAAAGGTGTTCTTACTTCTGAATCAGTCAGTAAAGGAAGTTTCCGTATGAGCAAAACTTTGTCGGTGATCGACAAAGCATAGTAGAACCCACTTTGTCCCAAAAGGATGTTACCTTCTTTTTGCAGGTGATGAGAAAGAGAGAGAGTAAGAAGACCGTTGCTCAACGCTCTTTAACTGGATGCATTGGAATATTGGATCATCTTGCATAGTATCTCCTGTTTTCTTTATATGCCTAACTATAACTTGTTCACGTGTCATCTTATCTCCTTGTATGAGTAGGTGCAAATGAGATCAGGTTTGTTTTGACTAAACCAACTTTCATGAACTTTCTTTACTTTTTTGGTTGGGAAAGATTTGAGAAACACAAAACCAAACAATGTCTATTGATACATTTTTCTTAGGACAACACAAGCTCATGTAGAATTGTAATTCTAAATCTAAACATACAAAGAAGACACATGTAGAAATCCAGTCAATTATATAATTGAAACTATGAGACATAATCTTCTTTTTATTAACGCAAGAAAAAAATCATCAAGGCAAATAAATTTTACACTGACAAAGAAAAGGGGCTAACAGTCGGCACAAATTTTTATCTGCTAACTACAAACATTTTCCAAGAAGACAAAAAAAATTATAATTAAATGAAGTTGATATCCCTAAACCTAAACCTCTGAGTCTCCAGCACTTATAAATAGAGAATCGGTGTCAGAGATTCATCATCATCACAAATCATCATCCACATCACATAAACACAAAATCCAATTTGCAATGGCGAAAATCTCCAGTATTCACATTATCTTCTTCGTGTTCATCACAAGTAACAACCTCAAACCCACTCTGTTTTTGTTTCTTCTCTCTTTCACTTATTATGTCTTTATCTTATCCTCTGTTTTTATTATAATTGTCAAGAAATATTTAGTTTTTTTGTTTGTTAACAGTTTTGAAATTGCAGGTGGCATTGCTGATTCCGCCACCGTGTTCACTTTACTGAACAGTTGTCCTTACACCGTCTGGCCGGGAACTCTCTCCGGCAACAGCGTCACCCTCGGCGACGGCGGATTTCCCTTGACTCCAGGCGCTTCCGTACAGCTCACGGCTCCTACGGGATGGTCAGGCCGGTTCTGGGCTCGTACCGGCTGCAACTTTGATGCCTCCGGCCACGGTACCTGCGTCACCGGAGACTGCGGCGGCGTTCTAAAATGTACCGGCGGCGGAGTTCCTCCAGCGACTCTAGCCGAATTCACCGTCGGATCAAGCAATGCCGGCATGGATTTCTACGACGTGAGCCTCGTCGACGGATACAATGTCAAGATGGGGATCAAACCACAAGGAGGATTCGGAAATTGCAAATACGCAGGCTGCGTCTCCGACATCAACGAGATTTGCCCTAGCGAGCTTAGGATCATGGATCCGAATTCAGGAAGTATCGCCGCGTGCAAGAGCGCTTGTGCGGCGTTTAATTCGCCGGAATTTTGCTGTACTGGTGCTCACGCGACGCCGCAAACTTGTTCTCCGACGTATTACTCGTCCATGTTTAAGAACGCTTGCCCTAGCGCTTATAGTTACGCTTACGACGACGCTTCGAGCACTTTCACTTGTACCGGATCTAACTACTTGATCACTTTCTGCCCTACCCAGTCTTAAACCGGAGCTCCGGTTTAGAATTGGGTTGGGTTTCTCTCTCTCACGTTTCTTTTGCTTGTTATGTACGGAAAGAGAAATAAAGAAAAGGTGATGAGTGATGAATATAAATCATCTTCTTCCATTTTTTCAAGTTGTTCTTTTCTCATTTGCTTTGATTAACAATACTTATATTATATACATCATAACATGTCGATATTTAGATGAATTAAGATGGATGCTTAATTAGAGGTAGAGGGTTTCTTTGTTGCAGGTCATTGGTTCTTGATGTACTTTACTTACATGGGACCAATAACAAATTTTTGTTCCCCCAAAAGAGGCAGAGCTAAGTTAGCTCAGCTAACTACTTCTGAAGCCACGGAATTGTTTAAGATCAGTGTTTCTGGCTTCTTTATGCTTCCATTTGCAAGGCTTATTCATTCTTGTTGAAGCTTAAACGAATCCTAAAAAACCTGAGCTCATCCAGAGGATATATATGTTTCAGACTTAAAACACCAATGAGCAAATATGAAACCAGTAACCCTCATTTTCAGGATATGCCTGCTAACTAATTAGTAATGTCTGAATGTGTGAAATGCTGCTCTTAATTAGTCATATCTTGTTTCTGAGACCTCCCTTATTTTTATATGAAGTGACGAGAAATGCAAGAGAAGCCAAAAGTTTGCAGCTGAAGTTGGTCTTCCAACATTGTTACATAGGTCTTTGGACGCAGGTATGGTCCATGAAAATTTGATGAAAATGTTTGTGTATGTTCACTAACATTTTCTGCAAACATTCACAGTTTTGATGACATTATAATAGCTTGAGGGTTCAAGTAAATGAGATTTCAGCAAATTAAACTAAGCAAAATTGTCTGCTTTAATGGATTCATTTCAGTTGAAGGACAAACGGCTATAAATTTTAAATGCTCAGGAACAGTTCCCCAATCAAAGACCAGAAGAAGAACTCTCTGTTCTGAAGTGCATCTGAATTAACTAGTAATATCTTTGTCACCACTGTTCATTTATCTGAACTGACCTTGTATTCACATAGTGTTTCAAAGAATATGCGGGTCTAAGCTACACATATTTATCTTTTGCTACCTATCACAATTTCCGACCCTCACCATCTATTGGTTTCTTAAAGAAGATTCTAGTAAAGAAGTAAGATATTAACTCTGTTGTACACACATCAAGACTTTACAGGCAGTAAATATTTCTAAGCTGCCTCTTTCATTTTTAGTTCTTAGAGATTCTAAAGTTACTTATTGAGTGCATTCCATGTTTCTCTCTTGAAACTCACATATTCATTTGACTTGTGCGTGTCTTAGTCGTATTTTGGTTGTGTCTTGCAAGTTGCAAATGCCACTGTTAGCAATCTATCCTTCCAAACTGTCATCGAGCAACAGAACTTATTAGTAAGGAAATGTATGTTGGAACTTTTCATTGTCTCCCATGCGTTCATTGAGTTAGAAACAACAAAAGGTCATTAACCCTAATTGTCAGGAGGTATTCAAATTCTGATTCAGTTGGTAAAGGAAGTTTCCATCTGATCAAAACTTTGCCAGTGATCGACAAAGCATTTGTTCCAAAAGGATGTTACCTTCTTAATTTTAACTGCTATCTTGGATCATCTTTTCAGGTAGATCATAGCATCTCCTGTTTTCTTTACATTCCTTTGCCTGTTCACATGTCATCTTCTCTCCTTATCTGATGTATAGCAGTATAGGTGAAAGCTGTGAGATCAGGTTAGTTTTGATAGAACCAAACTTTGAACTTTCTTTACCTTTTTTGGTTTGAGAAAAGACTTGAGAAACCCAAATCCAAAAATGTTTATGGACACATTTGGACTGTCATGATCATTGTTAAGATGTGGAATATACCAAGAATATATATATTGACTAGTTTAAATTTTCTTGTCTAATTAATAGTAAATTAGCATCATTTAGTTGAATAATTAGGTTTAAGAACTTGCATGCATTATAAGATGTAGCCTTTTAATTGGTATATTCAATCATATACATAAAATCTATAATACGCGCTCTAAGTATTTTACATGGTCATGACTCATATCAGATGCAAGTTTGTTGACTCATGTAAGGTGGTCCAAGTATAGAGGATTTATTGTTGCTCTTAGTAAAATTTGGTTTGAAATAGACGTTAAGAACCATTAATTTCTTGGAGGAAAATCAAGATTTTACATTGAAAACTGGATGAAGCTAAATTAATATATATGACTTCCCATCACCACCAATGCACCACTCTCTGTTAACGTTGTGATCAATTAAATTAATAGGAAACAACCAAAATTGTGGAAAAAAGGAAACAACAAAACACTTCAAAAGAAAAGGAAAGAAGCGACCCTTTTCCTTTTATTTTCTTCTGAAGAAGCTTTCCTTATATATAAATACCCTTTCATCTCTCTCAGGAATCAAAATCAATCATTCTCTTTCTAATCTTTCTTCTTTTTCTTTTTGATAACCGTCTCTCTGAGATCGATCGTCACGTTTCCTAGATTGATCGCCATTCTCTGTTGTATGATCTCCACCGCAACACTTTCACCGTCTGCTAATGATGCGAGGAAGAAAGCAGGAAAAGAGGGACAGTTGAAGTTTTGGAGTTTCGATGGCTGCACTGTTGAATTTGAGTTCCTTGATTGAACCTGCACAAAGAAAAGTAAAATCGATGAGAACAAAGGCTCGTGATTGAAGGATGTCGAAGAAGAAGAAGAGAGCCAACGACAGAGAACAAGGAAAGGAGTTGGGCTTCAAGTGAAACTATTGGGCTGCGTTTTCGTTAACGCCCAAACAAAAGGACGAATCTGACTTTGGAATGGGCCTTCTTTGCTACCCAACAAGGTACATTATCATTTTCATGTTTTTCTTTTCTTTAAAACATTCTTTTAAGTTAAATTAAACCTAATTAATTTAAAACTTTCACTAAAAAACTTTAATAAATATATCTTTTGATTTTCAAAAAAATTAGTTTAAGTGTTCAATTTTAAAAAACGTCGAAAACTAACCGCGCCTAGGCATCCTGTCCTTAATTGGTCTGTAAGCTTTGGTGTTCGAAGTTCGGGATGTTTTCACGTAATATGGATTTAACACTTAAACTTATTTTTAAAAATAACAATAATTTTTACTAAAATTAAAAATTTAACACTTATACTTTAAGAAAATAATTAATAATTTTTAACTAAAACCATGTTAATTTTGCGCTATTATTTTTTAATAATTAGTTTAAGTGTTCAATCTTAAAAGCGTTGAAAACTAACCGCGCCTAGGCATCCTGTCCTTAGTTGGTCCGTAAGATTTGGTTTTCGAAGTTCGGCATGTTTTCACGTAATATAGATCTAACACTTAAACTCATTAAAAAAAAATGATTTTCACTATTAACACTTAAAATTTAAGAAAATAATTAATAATTTTTAACTAAAACTATGTTAATTTTACTATTATTTTCAAAAAATTAGTTTAAGTGTTCAATCTAGGCCTGGGCAAAAAACCCGTACCCGAGTACCCGAACCGGAACCGACCCGAAAAACCCGGTTCGGGGCGGGTACGGGTATGTAAGTTTTACACTGCTGGGTTCTATTATTACTTACCCGTGGGTATCGGGTCGGGTTCGGGTTTTACCCGATACCCAATGGTGTAAACCGAAAACCCGATTAGCTTAGGTTTTAGTCTCAAACCCATTTAGCTTCTTCGCTTCCTGCCTTCCTCCATTCCCGCCGATTCTTCGCTTCCTCTATTCCTCTATTCCCGCCGATTAAAAACCCTAGTTCTCTACTCTCTCATTTACCACAGTTTTCATTTTCGATTCAAACCTGGAAACTCAAACGACAAACCCCACACCGTCTGTGGTCACTTCTCCACCGTCCGCCTTGTCGAGAAACCGTTCAGAGGTAATTTCCGGTTTCACTAGTCCATGATCTCTCTCTGATAAGTTTTGGTTTAGGGTTTTACAGATTGAAAACGATGAAGAATCGATTTTCCTTTTGTGTTTTTTGAGATTTAATGTTGTACTTGTAATGTTGTACCTGTTGGAGTTGAATTGATTTAGCTTTAGGTTTTAGTATAAAATTGATTTGAATTCACTGCAATTTTGTGTTTATGGTGCTAAAAAGATTGAGAATTGTAAGAGACTCACATAGGCTTTTAGTTTCAACTCTCAAGTCTCAACACTGTTTGTCTTGACTCTTGATTTTAATCGGTTTTGACTCAGTCTCTGTTTTATTTTGCGTCTTTGGTTTGATCTGTTTTGTCTCAACACTTTTGTTACTTATGTCCTTAATGAAGAAACCATGTGAGCTTCTCTTCTTCTGCTTGCTTCTTCTTTCGTCTTTTTCATTTAAACTAAGAGAAAAGTGTTGGTTTTCTCTGTTTCATTTTGTGTCTTTTTTTTTATCTGTTTTGTCTCAACACTTTTGTTACTTGTGTCCTTAATCAAGAAACCATGTGAGCTTCTCTGCTTCTGCTTGCTTCTTCTTTTGTCTTTTTCATGTAAACTAAGAGAAAAGTGTTGGTTTTCTTTGTTTTATTTTGTGTCTTTTTTAAATCTGTTTTGTCTCAATACTTTAGTTACTTGTGTCCTTAATCAAGAAGCATGTCTTTTTTAAATCTGTTTTATGTCACAATTTGAATTGTGAATGACACAATTTTTTTTGTCTTTGAATTGTGAATGACTTTGAATTGTGTTGAGTTGCAGATGGCGTCTTGTGATGAACCAAAAGATAAAAATGTTCCAATGGACCATGAAGATGATATGACAGACGAAGAGTTTGAAACTCCTACTTATAGCAAGGCAAACAAGAGGAAAGACAATGCAGGGACAGGGGGTAGTGGTTGTAAGTCAACTAAGAGGGCAAGGTCTTGGGTTTGGGATCATTTCACCAGAAAAGAGAAGGTTGCAGACAAATGTAATTGTAATTACTGTGGGAAAGAGTTAGCGTGTCCAACCAAGTCTGGAACCTCCACGTTGAAGAAGCATATTGAAAATACCTGCAAGGCATTCCAGGTATGGAAAAGTGCTAATATACATCAAACTCAAACAGTTTTAACTCCTGATGGTTCTGGTGGTTGTGTTAGGGTTAGTAAGGTCAGTGAAGCAGTTTTTAAAGAAGCATCTAATGAGCTGTTAGTTTTAGCTGAGTTACCAT